GGCAGTGTAAAGTCTCTGGGCACAATGCCATCTTTAGCTTTATAAAAAAGGGATAATTCATACTTTTTAACAATTTTATCTTTAAGTCCTTGCAATTGGTTTTCTTTGACTGCCTTTTGTATTAAATTCATAATTAAGAATTCAAATTTTTTTTTGTTAACTTCGTCGCGTTCAACGGATGGTGTCGCCTTCTCGTTGTTGGAATCATTGGTGCAGCGTTTCCTTGTACTCACTCAGTCCACGCTAGAGAAGACGAGGACCAGGGTTGAAATATTCACCGCCGTCCAGCAGACTAGAGAGTTTTATCTTTTTGCAATGGATTAAAAAACAACCAACTACAGTACTTGAACAATTGCACAACGGCCAAAACCCGTCTTGATTTTGGTGTCAGGGGAAGCTCCACTCCATGAGCATCACTGGGGAACATTTCAAGTCCATCTATAATTTCCCAACAATAAATTGGATGTAATATCTGAAAGTTGTACTGTCCAGCCTCACTCCTCAAACACTGAAGGCATTGCAAAAAGAAAAAAAGTCAGAGCATGATAACAGGAATTGGGTCATTTTTCTCTGTCCCGTTGGTGGCCATCCACTGGTCTGAGTGGTTCAAGCATCATTTTTTTGTGCGTTTCTGTGAATGTATGCAGCCCAGGTATGACTGCAAATTCTGACACGCACACTCCTCCTCCTCCGGGGAGGCGGGAGGCACAAGAACACACACGAGTCATGGCTGCGCTCAGACCAGCGAGGCCTCGGCTAGTCATAACTCTGTGATCTCCAGGGGAATCTCCGACAGGGTGTTCTCGCCCTTGTGACGGTGCATCGGGGTGGACTTGGCCGACTCGGTGCGGGCGTTGCGCTCGGAGTAGAGCCCCCCATCAGAGTTCAGGGCCTCGAGAGAACGTGCCAGGGCCCGCTGGTCGTCTTCAGGCAGGCTGTTGAGGTCAGAGGTCAGGAGTGTACCTGTGCTGCCGTGGACCACGTGCACACCGTCGGGACCCTTCAACTCCATTGGAAGCTTGTGCTTGAAGCGCAGTGTGCCACGACCTCCGCCCATGCCCAGCTGCTCGTCCTCGTCATCGTCCAGGTCGCTCTGGATCAGCTGCCGGAGGAGGGGAAGAGGAGAGCTTAAAGCGACTCACAGCAAATGCATCAGGCTGACGACCACAGTGCAGCTTTGGTAAGAGAAGTAGAAGGAAGATTTTTCTGAGAGAAATGAGTTGCATCAACAACTTGGGAAAGCAGAGAAACAATAGGACAGCAGAGACAGTTCATAGCATGACGTTTCCTTAGAAGATTGCGTGGGTGGAGTTTTCACTTCAGAGCTTTTCAGAGGGGTTGATAACCGTAGGTTGATAGTCGTAGTTTTATTGCTCCAGTCTAAACTCTATTCGACTCAGAGTCTGGCTCAAAGACGGCAGAAGTAGTGAGTAGGGGCAGTCAGAGCAGCGAGCTTCAGAAAGGGAAACCACAGGAATGCAAGATCACTATCCGGCGGGGTAAGACGTCAGTGTTTCCTCGCCCACCTCAGTGACTGACGAGTGATCTCCCTGACTGGTGGACACCGTGACGAGTCGGGCTGCAAAGAGCTTTTTCAGCCTCAGGTAGTCATCCAGGACCACATTGAGCAGGGAACCCTGACAGGACGGCAGTTAGGATCAAACACAGTCTATGACACCCTCCTCCTTACACACCCTCACTGACACAGTGAGGGTGTGTAACAGGGACGACAATCCACACAAGACCATCTTTGCGTCTCTCTCTATTGGTTTTCTTCTTGGGACGTCCTGGACGGAGGTTTTAGGTCCCGCCCTCTGTCCATGTCCCAATGATTTATGTGATGGATGGAAGGAGTACATGACCGGCACAAAAGAGGCTTTTGGATTAGGACGTCTCCCTGGACAATGTGAGATACAGGTGTCTTACCTTGATAGGCCCCTCCCTCATAATCTGGCCTAGTTTAGCAATGTTGTCGTACTCCTGAATGGCTGCCCTCAAGTAACGATCATCCTCAGGCTTCGCTTGCGGCTCTCGGCCGAATGTGCCCTGTGGGGCACACACACACACACACACACACACACACACACACACACACACACACGTTATCTTACAAATTGTCAGCATTGAAACGAATCCTTAGATGACGATGGCTTAGGAAAGGCGACACAAACTTGTGTAATGTTGAGAATGATGACTCCACCTTCTCAGTAGTAAAGCCTGGAGAAATACCAACAATTTCTCTGTTAATATATAAAAGAGGTACTGACATGGGTGCGTGCGGGGCTGTTCCACAGGTCAGTGATCTCACTCAGGTTCTCAGGCAGGTCGTCCTCGTGGTCGGCCTGGGCAGCCAGCTCCAGGTTGCGACAGAATGGGTCCAGCCACACCGGATTGGCCCTGCAGGGGCAAACAGAGTTATACGCATCATCTACTACATGCAAATGAAGTACGACGGTCAAATATTTTTTTTAAATCAAAATTAATTTGAAGGAACAGTGAAAGATTTTGTGAAACATGCGTATTCTCTTTCTTGCCTGAGACTTAAAATTGTCTTGGCTATGCAGAAATAGGCAGTTAAAATTTAATCAGTTGCGTGAAAACAAGGAAATATAAAACACAAGATATAAAAAAAAGATATTCGGTGTGAATTCCTTTTAAGCAATTTTTTGATCTTACCCTTCGAAAGAGTATTTGTTAGTGTTGGGCATGTCAAGGATATCCATGAGACCCTGGTTCCCTGGAGGAGGGGATCGTTTTAAGAAAAACAGTTTATAAACTGCAGCGACATGTTGAACCCTACATTTACAGGCCATAAAAGCCACATCCTGAAGTTAACAGCTGGAGGGGCCGTCACCCTCAACGGAGCTGCTTCTCACCTGTTGATCCTGCAACAATAGCTTTGAGCTTTCTCTGGTGTCTGCAACACAGGAAGAGGCTCGGTTGAGGTAAACATGTTGATGGCTTTGCTCAGACTGGCAGCGTGAAAACTGTCTCCATTACTTTGCAGATTGCAAATCACTCTACTCAAGATTCAAAAGAAATCCAGGTCAATGCAAAAGTGCTGAAGGGCGCTTACACTCTCTGATAATGCCAGTTCATTGTGACAAACAATACTCCTGCCAAGCACAGCAGCACAGCCAGGATGATGACGACTAGCTGTGAGAGGGAAAGAGAAGGTCAGAAGCACCAGAGACAAAGTATCTGCAACAGCCTGCGTGTTGGCGGAGGTGCCGGCCCTCGCCGACCTGTAGTGTGGTGATGTCATCAGGCAGTTTGTCAGTGACAGCGGGCTGAACGTCCACCACGTTGTATTTCCTGAACAGGTTCCTCAGCTGCTCCTGGTTCTCATCAATCATCTTAATTACCCTGCAAAGCAGAAAGCAGCAGGGCGCGGGTGAGCTCCCACTACCACTGCGCGTGTAAAACAGTGCTGTCACGCAGCATTGGAGGCAAAGATTCATTGCATTCGGGGAGCTGTACCTTATAACATCGAGGATGGTGTTGCTCTGATTGTTGACGACGTGGATGAGCATGTCGGTCTTATCATAACTCACCCTGCCTTTCTTGTCCACGTGGAACTGCATCAAATGATAAATGACAAAAGTTTTGCGCACGTCACAGAAAATAAAAAAGTCAAATAATAATTGACCACTTTCCTTGATAAAATGTCTCACCTGTATATCATCTAAGTTGACAATTGCTCCGGTAATATTGGAGAGCAGGTTGATGAATTCGTCCTGGTTTTCCCGGACTATATCGGGGATCTCGTTGAACACTATCTTGACCCTCTGGTCATCCCGGAGAATGTAGATGTTCACGTTGGTGGTTGTGCTGTGGCCAGCAAAATCGCACGCCAAAATTTCGAGCTGGAAGTAGCCTGGATTGTAGGCGGTGAAGAGGTCATACGTTCGGATGATACCATCTGCCAAACCTGTGGAGAAAATGGGATAGAATGTTGTTTTGAAAATGAACGTATGGGACCAGCGCTGGTATGTGGAACCTTCTCTGTCTGGGAGATTTCCAACAGCTCACAACAAGGTGAGAAGAACTGGCTACAAGAAGTGTGAGGCCCCAGTCTTTGTAAAATACATTTATGTTGAGGCCATTTCAATCCTTTATTTACACCCGACAATATGCATTCAATTAAGATTCAAATTCAGTTCAGAATATTGATGAATATTGAAATAAGTAAATAAATAAGTTTGGTGATATATTATCGTTATGATATATATGGTCAACCACTCACAAAACAACAATTTCTTTATACTACTGTGGCAAACCAGGGGGAGGAACAAAGCACTTGGGGCGGAGCCCCAAGCTCCGGTTGGGGGAGGTGATAAGGGGGATTTATTATCCTGTGCAGGTGCTCCAGCCACTGGGAACGTGGCACTGGTCACACCTGCGGCCTATCTGGTAATCAGAGCAGACCCTAGATAAGGAGAGGAGAAGAGACCGGACGGGAGCAGACGTCGGAGAGGAGGTAACCCCCAGGACTCACCGCTCTACTCTACTCTGCTCCTAACAGGACAAGGAAGCGGGCGCCACGTAGGAGGAGACGCCACATATTTCAGTTTGGAAGCCGGTTGGAAGAGCCGTAGTTTTTGACCTTTATTATTAAAAGGACCCTTTTTGTTTGCATTTGCTGTCTGAGTTTCTTATTTTACGCCCGAATCTGGCCTCACTCCCCCTGGGTTACCACATTTTGGTGGAGGATGCAGGCATGACGGTCTGTCGCTAAAGATTCAGGCTAAAATAGGTACTCCGAGAGAGACACGGAGAACCATGGAGAATGCGCTGACACAGCTCATCCAGACCCAAACCCAGCAGGCCCAGAGTCTTCAAGCCTTACAGGACGCCATCACTACTCTTGGACAGCATCTGGTAAAGCCAGAGAGGCCCACGGAACCCAGTAAAGTTCTCACCAAGCAGACCGGTGAGGATGACATTGAGGCCTACCTAGAGGTTTTTGAAGGACTGCAGAGAGGGAACGTTGGCCTAGAGCACAATGGGCAGGAATCCTAGCCCCTTTTTTAATTGGCGAAGCTCAAAAAGCCTGCCGGGACCTTTCCCCCGCTGACGTAAACCAGTATGGGGCATTGAAAGCTGCGATTTTGGCCCATTATGGACACAACCTGCAGACGAGGGCCCAACAGTTCCACGCCTGGGAGTATGACGCTACTGCCCCAGTGCGGCCGCAAATTGCAACGCTGATGCGATTGACACGCAGTTGGTTAACCTCGGGGGAGGGGCCTCCAGCGATTGACAGAGTTGCCATGGATCGCTGTATCAGAGCCTTACCCGGGGGTGCCAAACGACACGCTTCTCAAAGCTGCCCAGAGACAGTAGATGCCCTAGTGACGCTGTTGGAGAATCACCAGGTCACGGTACAGTTGATGCAAAGCAGTAGGCCACCCAGCCAATCGGACCCCAGGAGAGACAGGCAGAGGCTGAGGAAGAGCGACACGGAGGCACTGGGCCCAAGCCCGAGGCCCCAAGGGGGTCCGCCCCAGCCATCCCTCCAGCGCCGCCCCTTTGTGAATCCGGACCGGCGAAAATGCTTTGCCTGTGGACAAGAGGGCCATATAGCGTGGAATTGTCCGGGAGAAGACATTCTGATGCCTACGGCGGGCTCCTCCGACTCCCCACGGAAGGCCGACAGCTATCTTACCACGTGCTGGGCTCATGAGGGCGCAAGGGCCCCAAAGCTGCCGGTCAGAATAGGGACCCAGGATGCTGAAGCCCTACTCGACTCCGGCAGTGCGGTCACCCTCCTACGGCCCGGGTTGACCTCTGGCCCCAGGGGACCCCCTATCCCAGTCTCCTGTGTCCACGGGGATTCACGAGAGTATCCCACGACCCACATTAAGGTCCAGACCACCAGGGGCACATTTGAGGTTGTTGCGGGCTTAGTGGAAAATCTGCCGGTACCAGTGCTGATTGGGCGGGACTGCCCGATATTCTGGCGTTTGTGGGCATGCAGGACTGCTGGCCACCGAAGAAACTGTCCCACCAAGAAACCTGGTAGGGACCAGAAAGTCAAGGTGGCACATGCCTGTGCAGCCCCATCTAGCCCAACCACGTCATCTGCAGAAGGGACAGAGGAGGAGGCCCTGGCCCCAGCGGAGGCCCCGGCCCCAGCGGAGGCCCCGGCCCCAGCGGAGGCCCCGACAAGGAGGGATCCCCGACTAACTGAAGGGTCTTCGAACGAGGCTTTTTCGGAGTTCCCACCGGCAGAAGAGGCATCTTCCACCAGGCCCGGGCAGTTTGGGACGGCCCAGTGGGAGGACCCTAACCTGGAACAAGCGCGACAGAACCTGGCTGTGGTCGAGGGAGAACCGGTGGCGGGGGTAAGTGCTAGCACCTTTCCACACTTTTCAATCAAGAATGGCCTCTTGTATAGGGTGGCAAAGCTGGAGGAACGGGTGGTGGAACAGTTGCTAGTCCCCAAGCGCTATATTAACAAAGTGTTGTACCTAGCCCACTCCCACCTGTTGGGAGCTCATTTGGGGGTGGAGAAAACCTACGACCGAGTCCGGGAGCGCTTCTACTGGCCGGGGGTGAAGAAGGCGGTCCAGGATTATTGCCAAATCTGCCCACAATGCCAGAAGACGGCGCCGAGTAAACTACCAGAATCCACTAATACCACTACCAATAATCGACATCCCATGCAGAGGGTGGCCATGGATATAGTAGGCCCCCTTGCCGAAAGTCCAGTAGGGGGCGCCAGATTATCTTGGGTTATCATAGATTATGCCACCCGGTACCCAGAAGGCGGTCCCGTTACGGCACCCGCAAGTGCTAAAGCGGTGGGCGAGAGAAATTATTCCTTCTCTTTAGTAGAGTTGGGATTGCAAAAGGAAGTCCCTTACTGACCAGGGAACCTGTTTCATGTCTCGGGGTGATGAAGGAGATGTGTAAACTGCTGAAGGTGAGCCAAATACGAACCTCTGTCTACCACCCACAGACGGACGGCCTGGTAGAACGTTTCAATAAAACCTTAAAACAAATGCTAAGGAAGGCTATTGACGTGGAGGGGAAAAACTGGGACCAACTAATCCCCTTTGTCTTGTTCTCAATCCGCGAAGTGCCCCAGGCGTCCACAGGGTTCTCACCATTTGAGCTGCTGTATGGACGGAGACCCAGGGGCATGCTGGACCTGGCCAAAGAAGCATGGGAGCAACAGCCATCAGCCCATCGCTCCGCCATAGAGTATGTCGACCAGATGCAGGACAGGATGGCTAAGGTATGGCCCCTGGTGCGGGAGCATATGCAACAAGCCCAACACGCCCAAGCCAGAATCTATAACCGTAGAGCTCAGCTACGGGAGTTCCAGCCGGGAGAGTTTGTCTTGGTCCTGATTCCAACGGTGGAATGCAAATTCCTGGCAAAGTGGCATGGACCCTATGAGGTGATCGAAAGGGTGGGGGAGGTGAATTATAAGGTAAGACAACCGGGAAGGAGGAAAATCTGCCAAATATATCACATTAATCTGTTGAAGAGATGGCACGCCCCTGACAGTGTTCCGATGGCCGCACTAACCACCGAAACCCAAGATCGTGTCCCCTCACAGGTACCTCTGGGCCCCCATCTGAGTCCGACCCACCGGCAAGACATGGTGGAACTAACTGGGCAGTTCAAAGATGTTTTTTCAGACATGCCGGGAAGGACCACGGTGATTAACCACGACATCATCACCGAACCTGGGAAAAAGGTGAGGCTCCGACCCTACCGCATACCAGAGGCAAAAAGGGAGACCATCAAAGAAGAGGTGAGAAGGATGTTGGAGATGGGCGTTATTGAGGAGTCACACAGTGCATGGTCCAGCCCGATTGTGTTGACTCCAAAACCCGACGGCAGCGAGAGATTCTGCAATGATTTTAGAAAATTGAACGAAATCTCAAAATTTGACGCTTACCCCATGCCGAGGGTTGATGAGTTAATAGAGCGATTAGGCCCAGCCCGGTTTGTGTCCACGCTCGACCTCACTAAAGGTTACTGGCAGGTTCCCCTCACAGAAACCGCCAAAGAGAAGACAGCGTTTGCTACCCCAGAAGGCCTGTACCACTATAGAGTCCTGCCCTTCGGAGTCCACGGAGCGCCAGCTACGTTCCAAAGAATGATGGACCAGGTGCTCCGACCTCATCGGGAGTATGCAGCGGCCTACCTAGATGATGTGGTCATACACAGCCCCGACTGGACCACCCATGTAGGCCACCTGAAAGCTGTCCTGGGAAGCCTACGGAGAGCTGGCCTGACCGCCAACCCAAAAAAGTGCCACCTTGGCCTGGAGGAGGCGGAATACCTCGGCTACACCATTGGGAGAGGCAGTGTGAGACCCCAATCCCGGAAAGTGGAGGCCATTGCCACCTGGCCTAAGCCAGCCACGAAGCGGCAAGTAAAAACGTTCCTCGGCCTGGTCGGCTATTATCAGTGCTTTATACCCCACTTTGCTACTATTGCAGCCCCTTTACACGAGATGACGAAAAACAGCCACCCACACCAGGTCCTCTGGAGCACCGAAGCTGAGGCAGCCTTTACAACCCTTCGGAGGGCCCTGTGCACCGAGCCAATTTTAAGCACCCCTAATTTTGAGGACACGTTCATCGTCCATACAGATGCCTCTGGATCAGGGCTTGGAGCCGTGCTGTCCCAGGTCAGAGGAGGAGAAGAACACCCAGTGACCTATATCAGCCGTAAGTTGCTAAAGCATGAGATCAATTATTCAACGTTGGAGAAAGAATGTTTGGCAATAAAATGGGCCCTGACAAAGCTGCGGTATTACCTCCTGGGCAGAAAATTCACCCTGGTAACGGATCACGCACCACTGAGATGGATGTCTACGGCCAAAGACACTAATGCACGAGTTACACGGTGGTTCCTCGAACTGCAAAACTTTAATTTTTCTGTTGAGCACAGGTCGGGAAAAGCACATGGAAACGCAGACGCCTTGTCCAGGAGGGAAGAATGCTATCTCGTTGACGCTCCTAGCCCCAACCTGGAGCTGGTGGAGGGGGTGTGTGGCAAACCAGGGGGAGGAACAAAGCACTTGGGGCGGAGCCCCAAGCTCCGGTTGGGGGAGGTGATAAGGGGGATTTATTATCCTGTGCAGGTGCTCCAGCCACTGGGAACGTGGCACTGGTCACACCTGCGGCCTATCTGGTAATCAGAGCAGACCCTAGATAAGGAGAGGAGAAGAGACCGGACGGGAGCAGACGTCGGAGAGGAGGTAACCCCCAGGACTCACCGCTCTACTCTACTCTGCTCCTAACAGGACAAGGAAGCGGGCGCCACGTAGGAGGAGACGCCACATATTTCAGTTTGGAAGCCGGTTGGAAGAGCCGTAGTTTTTGACCTTTATTATTAAAAGGACCCTTTTTGTTTGCATTTGCTGTCTGAGTTTCTTATTTTACGCCCGAATCTGGCCTCACTCCCCCTGGGTTACCACACTACCAACAAGTATTCCCTCATTCCTCTGAAAACAGGTCAGAAAGTATTGAGAAAATTAACCGTGGGCATAAATTCTTTCTAAGGCTTTGCACTTTTAATACTTATGCTTGTTTTAATAAATCATTGTCAAAAGTTCAGCAGTCTCTCCTGATTGAATTATTTTTGGCCCTTCCATGAGATTTGGTGCATTGTGTAGATTTCATATCACCAAAACACAACTTGATTTGATCTTCCAACTCTATTTTAACAGGTTTTAACATTCCATCCAACATTAAACCCGATACATGCATGTAATTAGAGGGTTGAAGTAAACAGGCCATCAATGTTAAAGGCGGACGGAATGTCGTCCATGAGGAAGCTCACCGATAATGAAGATGCTGCCAACGTCCTCACTGCCATTGCTCTGTGACTGGAAGTAGCGGATTGTCACAATATGGTATTGCACCACGCTGTTGTTTCCGATGTCGTTGTCTATAGCCACGACCTTGATCAGATCCGACCCTACTTTGGCGCTTGCTGCAACCCCTGAAAGCGGAGAGAGAAGACGATGGTGGTTCTACACAGACCAGCGTACACATTCAGCACGTGTACAAGAATGCACACTATACCTGCAGTGTACTCCGCCTTAGTGAAGCGCGGTTTCTGGTCATTGATGTCTTCCAGTTCAATATGGACCTCCAGCAAGCTAGGGTCATTGGCAGGGTCCAGGGCTTTGGCCCGTGCTGCCCTTTGACCCCTTGTTGGAGTCCAGCTCCTGTTGCTGGAAGCCTTGATGATGATTGAGTAGACCGGGATCTCCTCACGGTCCAGATCCTTAAGCACCTTCAGCTCTCCATCTAAACTCAGGCCAAAGTTTCCATCACTGTTTCCTCCTGCAGGAAGAGACGGAAAACATTTGTGTTCAGTCACCGACAGGCCGGAAGGAATCAGCTTGAAAATACAATAGAAGGACAGTGAGAGGACTTTCATCTGGACGCACAATGGCTACAAGAGAAACTCCTCATCCGCTACTGTAGATCTGTATCTAATGGGTGGATCAGCAGAAATAGTTTCACCCATGGGAAAAACATTTGCAGTACAGTTCTAACATGGACTATAGAATCCAACATGTTGCTCCTCTTTACCCGCAATGAAGTAGTAGACGATGGCATTAGAGCCCTCATCTGCGTCCACTGCTCTGGTTACGTTCCCCACCACAGTGCCGGGACGGGAGTGCTCAGGCACGGCCAGCCTATGGTAAGGCAAGCTGCCACGCTGAGGGGAACACACACACACACACAGGTAAAATCCATGGGGAACCGTTACACGGCATCTTTTGTATACATGCACATGAACAAGCATCAAGACGTATTCAGAGAGCTTCGTACTCACAGGTGGTTTAAGGAAGACAGGTTCATTGTCGTCGATGTCTAACAGCGCCACCTGCAGAGGCTGTGTGGTCTCGTAAGGCACTGGCTGGCCCATGTCGCGGGCCATGATGATCAGCTGAGAGAGTTGTTTGCACTCAGTTAGAAACACACATGGCGGGAAAAACACGAACTGCGCAGATTCTCGGTCCACTCACGCTGTGCAGGGCCTGTTTTTCTCGGTCCAGTTTCACTGTGGTCACAATGACTCCGGACATGGCGTCGATGTGGAAGTTTTCCCAGTCTCTGTTACCCGCTCCAGTCTGCAGGAAGCCATAGCGGACCTCTCCGTTCACTCCCTCGTCAGAGTCCGTTGCGTGCACCTCATACACGGGCAGTCCAGGGGGCTGTTCCTACATGGAGAACATCCTAGTGTGAAGCTCTCAACTCACCTCTCAAAAGTTGTCTTTTTAGCAAAATGGTTAACAGAAGGTCTCTAGAACTTCAGTCCAAACGTGAACCCTTTAGCTCCCCAGACATTTTGACATGTCATAACAGAAGCAGCCTAGTTGTAGTTAGTGGCATTAACCTGGCCACCTAGGGGAATCACGCTTTAACATGTCCCTGAAATGTGATCCCCTTTCAAGTTCATCTCGTGTACCAACTTTGTCTGTCAATTTGGTTCTGAAGTAAACAGCAGAGCTTTGTTGATTTTTTGTTGTTTTTTGTAATCTAATCCAATATGTCATATTGGTATCAGTCCCTATGTGGACTTTGTGAAGCTGAGCAAGTAGTGACCACATGAATCACAGCGTTTT